CATGGGCTACCAGTGTGGCAAGTTTCAAGTCAAAATTCGAAAGTCGGATTTTGCTCGAAATCCAAGCTATAGGCAAAAACTGACTAAAAATTCAATATCTTAGCAACAAAGCACCATGGGGATGAACCAATTTAGGGTATTTCACTACTCACTGAGGTCTACAAGATACAAGTAGTTCGAGTTCAAAAGCGATTTATAACCTCAAGAGGTTCCCTCGTCAGACAAAAGCCGTAAAACAATCAATTTTCTTACGTGGATCAATATTCTCCCACTTGATACGAATATAATGATCTCTATCAGGTCTCTGATGTTCATGCCCAAATCCAATGGCGTGACCCAATTCATGCACATACTGACCAACACTGATGCACGTTGGAGCATACATCTTTACAAATTGTCGTCCACCTTGGCGACCAACATGTGAATAGCAATAGTTGTTTGTCCCATCGTCGGGTGTCAATTCGAGATAGTCACGATCGTTACTTGATGCTGGAACAAATCGAATGCACGTCTTTGACTCCCACTCTCGAATGGACTCGGCAATCACTGCTCTCTCATGATCATTGTAGCGAGAACTGATCACGTAGGGAACTCTTGCGTTTGGCCATTTGTATCTCGAATCATGCCATACATTGGTGCGAGTTTCTGGATGGTTTGGGAGATACTCACGAAAATCTGTCAAATTTGCACCACGCTCTTCTAGTGTCAACACTTTGCCTCGCTCAAAATCTTCAGCAGTTACATAAGATGGACGAGAAGGTGATGGAATGGGACCACTTAGAATGAGAGTGACTGCTAACAGAAACAAAAGAAAAATTTAAATTATTATAAAACTTATTATCAATTATAAAAATCTCACCATAATGAGAGAAAAAACTCAAAACGATAATAATCTTCATAATAGTAATGCGTGATGTTTGCATTCATTTTCATTACACTGAAATAATAGCTAATTTATATAGTTTTCGCATTTATTGCATGACTGACAATTATCATGATACCATTTGCTATTTACTACAATATCAATACACACGTATTTTTCCCTAAACACTCGTTGTCTTTTGCGTAGGTCTAACCTTAATACTTTTAATTCTGCTTAAATTGATACTCTAAGCTTTTTTATAATCGAAGAAGTGTGTTTCGATAGAATTTAAGTTGTAATGTATCCATCATGAAAAATGAGAAAAGCAATGCTCTGTTTCAGCCAAAATAAATAAGTAAAAAAATGCGATTTTACTTTTAGAAATGAAGGGAGAAAGAAGAGAAGAGGAGATAGGTTACACGACTGACCGTATCATTTTCTTTCTTAAATTTAATATTGAATTCAATTCTGGCATGGTTAGTTTATATAACGGGTGGACCAGATAAAACCGGCCACTTGTTTTTGAGGTATCGTCCAATAGTTCCAAGGATTCTTTTTAAAGTCAATCGATAGAGAATTGAATTCTCTACAAAACCTATAATTTTAATCTCTGATAGCGTTTTTCCCGTTTGAGCACCATTCAATATTTCGCATGGTGCTGAGTTGTCGAACTGCGACCCGCCTGTCGACGTCTTCTTCTTTGAGATTTTTATCCCATTGTCTGAGGTTCAATAGTTAATTTTCTAGGTAGAAAGATAGAGAATTTTGTGCTCTATCGATCTCACTGATATACAACTTCATACAATATTTTCGCTACG